GCGCGGGCGGCGGCTGGAGCTGCGGGCGGCGGCTGCTGCAGTGCCGGGGAGGGGAGGGGGGAGGGCGGGAGGCGGGCGCGGCGCGGAGCGCGGAGAGAGAGGCGGGGGGAGCGGGAAGGGGGGGAGAGGGGGAGGGCGGCCGGGGCTGCGGCTGTCTGAAAGGGCTGGAGGGAGGGTGGAGACCAACCTGGGACGCAGAGTGGAGTGCGGCAGGGTGCCCATCCTTCTTCCGCGCACCCCAGGGGCCCCCTGCTCCTCCAACCTGTCTTTGTGCAGGCTTTGGGGGGGTTGCTGGAGACAAACCCCACTCCCCAGGGTGGCCTGGGCAGGAGGGAACAGGCGGCAGCGTCAGGGTGGTGTTAGAGAGCTCATCCCTGGGGCACCTGGAGGCTGGGCAGCCTGTGTGTGCCCCGGGAGGGCAGCGTTTGAGGATATGGGAGTGGGGGCCAGTCTGAAAGGCCTCTTAGGGGCAGTCCAGGGATGAGCAGGTTTTGAGTCAGAGAAGAGGATAAATGGAAGTGCTAAATGCCCAAAACAAGGGTTTTGAAGTGAAATAATCATGGGTTACAACTCAGCTCTGACTTCTGCTCACCGTTAACTGAGGGCAGGTTTCTGACCTCTCTGCACCTCTGGTTCTCAGGTGGAAGGTGAGACAATGAGCCAGTCCCCAGATGATGGAGGAGAGATGCGTGCACTTGGTGGGTGAGTGGGCATCCTGGCTCCCCACCTCCTCTGGGCTCAGGGTTCTGGTTGATACCCCTGCAGGGAGACCCTGGCAGAGACCATCTCCTCACTTGGAGGACAACAAGTCAGACAGCTGGGACTTGATTCCTGTTTTAGGAATGGAGCTACCAAAGCCAAGATAAATGATCACTCCACAAGCAATTAAGTCCTAGCGCCAGGAGTAAAACTGTGGGAAACCTGGGGAACCAGTAGAAATATGGCAGACTCAGAAGGTGGAAACACAGAGACACACCTGAGGATCAGAGTTGCCTGGAGCAGGCCCAGCAGGTATGATGTGAGCACACCTCGATGTACACACACAGTAAGCACCAGACTGGTCAGTACCTGTCCTGGCCCACATGGTGCCTGGCCCACTGAGGGAGTCCCACACAGCCTGCCAGAACAGATTCTCAGCTCACATTTGCCAAGTGCTGGAGACCCCTGTGCCTGCTGTGTGGGGCTTGCAGTGACGAGCTGCGGTTTCCCCTTGCTCTCGTCTCAGGGTTAGGTTCAGCCCAGTGGCATTTATATGTTAGGATTTGTAGGAGAGTGGGCAGGCCCGTCAACCTGAATATGTGGCCAGGAAGCTCATCTATCAGTTCAGAGTCTGGGGTCCTCAGCTACAGTTCTGACCCAAGGAGGGCATGCCTCTGTGTCCTGGCCTTTCCCCCTTGGGCTTCCTGGGGGATGAAATCCCTCAGATGGGGGCATGTGGATGTGAAGAGCAGGACTCATGGCTCTGAAGCTTGCCCACTGCTGGCTTTGGCAATCTGCTAACCACCTTTGTTCCTCACCTGTAAAGTACGGGTAGTAAAGGAACTTATCTCAGAGGTCATTAGGGGACAAGCATGTCGATGCCTGCATGCATACCACTGAAACCTGTGCCTGGTGAGCATGGAGCAAGTGTGTTCCCAGGTCTCCTATTCCCCAGGTTCCCTGCTGAGAGTCTAGGGCAGACATTGTACAGTCCCCTCCATGGAACAGGCATGTAGGGGTGGATGCCAGCGTATGCCATGTGCTTCCCCCCAGCATGATTTCACACATGTCGGCATGGATGCACATGTGATATGTGTGCATCAGCAGGAAAAACCTGGATATTAAATACAGCCCATGAAAAGCCCTGAAATCAGTGACGCCAGCAGGCTGTGAGCTGTCACTGCAGTGTCACTTTCTTCCTGATGCCTTTTGGGGGCATGCTGGCGTGGCCTGGACAAACACCTGCGGCCCCACAAAGCTGTCCGGACTCCTGGAGCCCATCCGTGGACTGGTGCTGGTGCTGGAGATCCGTAGGGTGAGGGGGCGCCCTGATCATTGGGGACACTGGTGTCCGGAAGAGCGGCTGCACCCAGGGTACGGGAAGAACGGGCTACTGAGGCCCTCAGGAGCTGGGTTATGGGCGAGGGGCAGCCATCTGCGGAGTTTAAGAGTGATCGGCGGACTTGAGCCTTAAGAAGGCCCGTGGGTGCTGAGCGGGGGGTGGGAACCTCCGGGAACCAGTCTGGTGCGGTTGCTCGGACAACCGAGGTGGCGCGGCCCAGGGAGGGGTCGAGGAATGGAGGCCCCAGGATGACTTGGAAGGAGGAGAAAGGCGGGACCCCAGGTTTGTGCCCGCGCGCGATGGAGGTACCGTTCCCCGGCTGGGGGTGGAGCGGCCCGGAACCGGGGGCGCGGACAGAGCCCGGACCGCCCGGCGGCGGAACGGTTTCCGCCGGGAGCGGCGCGCGGGGGACCGGAATTGGGAGCGGAAGTGCAGCGCGGTCGACGGTGCCCTGCGCTCTCAGCCCGCCAAGTCCGAACCGGTTGGCTGCGGAGGACGCGGTGGCGGTGCCTCGGCCGACCTGGGGTGAATTCCTGGGGGCTTCCGGTCGTGGGGGGCCACGGGAGGGCCCCGCGGGGACAAGTGGGGCGCGGGGCGCAGAGGCCCTGGGACTGGGTCTCTACCAGAGGGGTGGCCCCCGAGGCTCCGGCTCTCAGCGGGCCCCGCGCCGCCCTCCGCCGCGCTGCCTTCGGAGGCCCGTAGTTTTCCTGCGCTCGTGGGCTCCGGGCGGCGCACCGTGCGGCCGCTCCATGGCCGCCCTGCGGGGAGGGCCGTCACCCCGTGGTTACGAGCGTGCTAGTCCCAGCGTCCCGGAGAAACTGAGGTCTAGAGAATGGGGTCACTTGCCGGGGACCCCCGTGTTCCCTCCCGGGGCAGAGCCGGCACACGTGCTCTCTCCCTGCCCCTGTTTGGGTGGCCCACCTGCAAAGGGTGGGCGTGGCGTCGCGCCCGCCCAGCCGGGGAGCCGAGGGTAGGGCGGGGCCGAAGGTGGGGGCAGCCGAGCCCGGGATGGGTGCTGCTGGGGCCTAGCCTCTCACACTCTGGTGGAAGTGAGTGAATTGTTGTAGGCAGAGCATGGCGACCCGGACCACCTCTCCTTACCTCTGTTAGCCCGCTGGCCGCTCCCCCAGCAGGATGGAGTTGTGGGGCAGGACAGCAAGGCATGGCTAATGCGTAGTTTCTTCACCTCCCCAGCTCCTTGTCACAGGCTTGCCTTGGGACCTTGTCCACGGGATGGGCTGCTCCAGATAACTGGTGAAGGGGCCTGGCCCTCCAGAAAGGCTGGCCACAGTCTTGTTGCCCTACAACTCTGTGTTGTAGGGGCTCCGGTGGACAGCAGTGTCATGTCCCAGCAACATGGGCTGGCGTCACTTACCTGGAGTAGCTGAGACCCTAAGATGTTCAGAGCAGGTTTTGTGCCACAGACTCCCACACTCTACATTTCAGCAAACCCCTGTGTCCTCCCGAGAACAGGCCAAGATGCCCAAGATAACCCTGAACGGTGTGACAGTGGACTTCCCTTTCCAGCCGTACAGATGCCAAGAGGACTACATGGCCAAAGTCCTGGAGTGTCTGCAGAAGGTAAAGCTGCTGACCAAGGGGTCTGTACCTGGGCTGGGCCAACATGTGGGGCTTCAGCCCAGGACTGATGTACTTCACCTTGCAACTCACTATGATCAGGTCCTCCTGGTTGAAAGATACCTTTTTGACATGGGACTTAGTCACAAATAGGGTACTGTTCTAGGTGGAGTAAGAGAGATGATAAACAAATGGGGAAAAAATGTAAATGGTGCTAAGGGCTACAAGACCTGAGCTGATAGGCTTGGGAGCACCTTGGGAGCCTCTCTGAGGAGGTGACATTTAAGCCGAGGCCATGTGACAAGGAGCAGCCTTCTACGATTTGAAGATCTGTAGAAGTGTTTCCTCATAGAGGGACAGCCATGTCCAGGCTCATTTTGGAGCCTAGGCTTGTGTAGGAGGGTGTAGGGGGCACAGGTTGCTCTCCGCTGGGGCCCCGGTATAAGAGAGCATGCTCTTGTACCCTGCTCAAGCCCCTGGCCCAGTGGCTAACTCTGCATCTGGGCTCATGGCTGCTGTTGGGGGCACAGGGTCCTGTGGCGAGGAGCCCGGGCCCATCCTGGGAGCAGAGGTGGGGCGGGTGCAGCTTTGCCTTTGTTCATCTCCAGGTTTCCCACTCGGGCCACCCCACCCCCCACCCCCGAGAGGCTGGTAGACCATCAGTGCCGTTCAGAGAGTGCAAACACCTGGATCCAGAATTGCAGGATAATCTCCTGTTTTGAAACTTGGCGCCTAATTAGTCATCTTGCTGTTTATATTAAGTTGAAAACTACTATTGCATTTTCTGTAATGCTCTGCAAATTGTGTTTGTGTAATGTCCTGCTGAATTAATCCATACCTTTTGGTTTGAGCTTGGACGTGTGTCCTGTGGAATTACCCACAATCTCTTAGGCCTTTGCCACCTCCTAGGTGGGCTCTGCCTAAGCAGAGCTGTCCCACTGGCTGCCTGGGTGGTCTCAGGTGGGCTGGCTATGTGCTTCCAGAGCCTCACCCTGTGTCCCCATGGCTCTGTTCTTGACTCCATTCAGAAAGTGAACGGCGTCCTGGAGAGCCCCACGGGCACGGGGAAGACCCTTTGCCTCCTCTGCACCACACTGGCCTGGCGGGAGCACCTTCGTGATGCCATCTCTGCCCAAAAGATCGCTGAGAGGGCACAAGGGGCACTGTTCCCTGGTGGCGCCTCGTCCTCCTGGGGGAATGCTGCTTCAGATGGGGATGGCACAGGTGAGGCTCCCGTCAGCCCCTGTGCAGGCAGACGGGTCTTGAAGCTGAGCAGGGAGCATTGCAGCTGCCAGGCCGTCTCTTACCTTGCTGGCTGTAAGCCTGGGGCCAAAGCCTGCTGCCACAGTAGGGCACTGGAGGTACCCTTTCAACCCGTTGCTGGTGATGAGGATCAGGTACCTGCAGCTGAGCTGTCCCCGTGGCTGAGTTAGCAGAGCGTCCCAGACACTGTCTCATGGGGTCGTGACCTGTTCTGCTTCCTTGTTCCTGGGCAGCTTGCTACATGGACATCCCAAAGATTATTTATGCCTCCAGGACCCACTCACAGCTCACGCAAGTCATCAGCGAGCTTCGGAACACCTCCTACCGGTGGGTCAGGTCGCGCCCAACCCCGCCTCAGGGTTATGGGGGGGTGGCCTCGGCATGGTTACTGGTGGTGGTGTGCCGGGACCCTCCCTGAGGGCATGCTGTGCTCAGGTGCACCCGGCTGTGATGAGGGCTGGGCTGTCTCTGATGCCCACTGTCTGAGAAAACAGCATTGAGTTTCTGTGCTGGCCTTGGGTTCGCACCAAGCCCTGTGCAGGTGCTATAGTGCCAGCTGTGGGTGTGGTCAGTGCAGCTGGACACATGAAGGGAGGAGACTGCCCTGGTTGGAGCCAGCAGGGCTGCAGGAGTCCGGGTGCCCTTCCCGTCTCCTGTGTGAGGGGGCACAGAGCCAGTGGGGCCGAGGTGGAAGCTTGCAAGTCCCTCCTCGATGCTGTTTGCCCTGCCTGTCTCTTTGCTCACCTGGGCCACGGTTCAGAGCGGTCAGTGACACAGCAGAGGTAGTCCCTCCCAACCCAGGGCACAGTGTGGCCATGGTCACTCCCTTTGGCTGCCTGCTTGCCCAGGTTCCAGGTGCTCCCGAGTGTCCCCACTCGGACAGTGTCCCCTCATGAGGCAGTGCCCCCTCATGCTGCCGCACAGCACTGTGAGCTGCCCTCTGAACCTTGGGCCCTGTGCCTCTCCCGCCAGCCCCAGGGTGTGTGTGCTGGGTTCCCGGGAGCAGCTGTGCATCAACCCTGAGGTGAAGAAGCAGGAGAGTAACCACATGCAGGTGGGCTCCCGGGGCGCCTCCCGCACTGTAGCTCTGCTGGCTGGGTGCCGCCTGGGCTATAGTGGGTAAAGAGCTGGGGCGGGGGCTGGGCTGGGGCAGCATGGCCAGTGGCACGCGCACCGGCTTGCCTGGGCTCCACCCTTTCTCGGCTGTCGAGCCAGCTGGGACCTTATCTTTTCTCTCCCAGATCCACTTGTGCCGAAAAAAGGTGTCGAGTCGCTCCTGTCATTTCTACAATAACACAGAAGGTAAGAGAGGGCTTGTGGGAGCTGCTCCCGCCTGTCAGCCAGCATACAGCGGGGTGGCAGGGGGGCGTGTGCAGCCCCTTTGGGCTGAGCTGGGTGGTCTACCACTCGCTGCTGTGCCCCTTGGGCTCCGGCGCAGCCTATCGGTGGGGCGGGGTGAGAGGCAAGCACTGTCTCCTGACAGGGTCCTCGGAAGAGCTGCCATGGGCTGACAGGTGTCACAGGAAGGCTGCTGGCACCTGGTCACTTGGATCCCTGGGGTTCCCACTGCCTGTGGGGGGCTCCCTGGGTCTAAGCTATGTGCAAACAGTGTGATTCATGCTGAGCACCTGCTTCCTTCTGGGAATTTGAGTGCCTGCAGGCAGGGGTGCCTAAGGGACCGGCCCACTAAATACCCTGGTGTTGGGTCTGGTGAGCTTCTGGACAGACTGCATTTCACCTGTTACCACAGCTTTGTGGGCGTCAGCCCAGGGAGGGGGTCAGCCCGGGGAGGGGGTCTGGTTGGGGGCATCAGCCTGGGTTCTAAGCTTGACCCTGGCCTCCTGACTCTGCCCCCTGCCCCTCCCAAGGTAGCTGCTGCAGAGTGTGGATTTGGTCTGTTGCTATGGTGCTGCCTAGGGGCTTGCTGTTCTCTCCTGTCCCTGAGGGCATTTTGGGTTGTGTCCCTGCTGAGGGCCTGCCTGATCTGGCTTCTGCATTTAAGGCTGGGCCTGGCACCTGCCTCATGGGGTGTGGACTCGGTGTATTTCCACGTGTGGCTGTCCTGAATCCCTGTAGCGCATGTTAGAAGAGACCCTTGGTTTGCCTACCAGGGCCTGGGCCTGTGTTTCTGTGTCAGAGCAGCTCCCTGGCGATTCTTGGGGTTCCAGATGGGGGGCCTGTGTCCTTTCTTGAGTCCCTTTCTGCCCCAGGACATGCAACCAGCAAGGAGTGACAGCTCTATGGTGGGCTTCCTTCTGAGAAAGGGCCTGGCGGCTGTCTGGCTGCATCAGGTCTGCGCCCCCTGTACTGGTACTGGCAGGCACGACCCAGGATTCCTGCAGGGGGTTGCTCCCGGGGGCACAGGCGCAGTGGGGAAGTGGAGGAAGGACCTGTGGCCAGGCTGAAGGCGAGTCATAGGACAGATGCCTGGAAGGCAGAGCCTTGAGGATGGCAGCCAAAGGGTCCCCTGCCCTGGTTCCTGTCTCCTACCGATAATCAGGCCCCAGCCGGCAGCCACCTTCTGGGGTGCAGAGCAGGGCTCCCTCAGCTCACTTCAGTCACAGGCCCTCCCAGGGGGCCCTGAGACCCGCAGGACAAGGATTCTCTGGGGAGTCCCCAGGCAGCTGGGTGACCGAGCCCTTCCCTGGGGAGGGTCTCCGTGTGGCCACACCCACTGCCAGCTGCACTGGAGCTCGCCCAGGTGTGCCCTGGGGCCCAGGGGTGCTCAGTGGACCCACGGGCATGTGTTTCCTCCTGCTTGTGTCCCCAGAGAAGAGCCTGGAACAGGAGCTGGGTACCCCCATCCTGGACATCGAGGATCTGGTCAAGAGTGGGAACAGGCACAAGTGAGCTGCCCCGTGGGGCCCCAGCTGGCCACTTCCCTCCAGGGCCAGGTTCTGCCATCTGTGGGGGTCATCTGTGTCTCCCTTTTCCCTTTTTAAGTCATGAAACACAGTTGTTCAGTGTGAGAAAACAAAGCAACTGGGGGATGTAAAGTGGGGACGGACCCCCTACCCCAGCCCTCAGCCCACCCTGGTGGCCAGTCTGATCTTCGGCTGCCAGTGGGACCCTGCCTGCCCCTCCAGTGTGCAGTGAGCTCTGCCGCTGCCAGCTGGTGGGTGTGGCCTTGACCCTGGAGCTTCAGGGCTTCAGGTTGTCACAAGGAAGGGCTGAGTGTTTTGTTTCTGATTTCCTCAGTAGTCTACTCAGGAATGGGGTTGGAGTTGTTTTTATAGGTTTTTAAGTGGGCGATGTGCTCAAGTGGTTGAAATTGGTGGTGTGGACGACAGGGCAAAGAGCCCGCCCCCTGCCCCACCCAAGCCCCCATGCGGCATGCGGGTGGCTTCCTGCCATGTGCCCGTCAAGGTGCAGTGTCCAGTCAGGCTTGGGGCCTCCCCCCCGTGCTCACAGGCCCCTGTCTGCTCCAGGCTGTGCCCCTACTACCTCTCTCGGAACCTGAGGCAGCAGGCCGACATTATCTTTATGCCGTACAACTACTTGCTGGATGCCAAGGTGAGGTCTCAGCCCATGCCACTGATGATTTCTGGTGCCAAGGGGTGTCCCTGGGCTCATGCAGGGCCATAAGAGCCTGTGCCGGTTAAGGGCCTGGGATCAGCCCTTCGCTCGTCGCAGCAGATCAGGGCTCAGGCAGGAGCCCCCGGCTGCAGCTCCCCTGCCCTCGCGCTGTGCCTCAGCTTCCGGGGGGGGGCACCGTCCTGCCCTCATGATGCCCACAGACTTGCAACTTTGTGTGCCTTCATGTTCTAACGGGGTGTCACACCACGTGTGCAACTCGTACTTCATGTGATGGTCGTGCAGCGGGCACGTGCCGGGGCACAGTGTAGACTGCAAAGAAGTGAGCACCGGGGCCAGGGGCAGTGGGTGTGGGGTGAGGAGGCAGTGCTGGTCAGCAGGCCTCTGCAGGGCAGTGGGCATGCAGGGGAAAGCAGGCTGCAGCGCACGCAGTGGGCGCCCCAGCGCTTGGGGGCTGCTGACGGGTTTACGTGATTCTTGAAGGGCAGGGCTTTCAGCCAGGCCACCCAGGGCCCGGGCCCCAGGTGGGACAGTCGTGGGGCAGGCTGATGCTAAAACTTACTGGGATGGGCAAGAGGCCTAAGAGAGCAAGGCAGCCTTGACCGAGAAGGGCAGAGTTGGAGGCTCACTCTTCCTGACTTGGAGACTTGGGCTGAGCGCAGGACAAGGACAGGTGGTGCAGGCCGGTGTCACAGAGCAGAGTGTCCAAGGCTGACCTGCACTCGGTCTTTGATGGACTTGCCTAGGCATTCACTGGGGGAACAAAAGGTTTTTTTTTTTTTTTCAAAAAAGTGGTGCTGGAATACCAGATATCTATTTGGAAGAATGGATCTTGGCCATTACTTCACATGTGTAAAAGCTAGAATCCTAAACCTTCTAAGAGAAAACATGGGGGCAGTCAGGACCTTTTACTTCAGACTCACAAGGCACTAGCCCTAAAGAAAAATAAATAAATCGGCCTTAACTGTTTAAAGCTTTGGCTGTTTGATAGTATCAGGAAAATTAAGAAAATTGAAAGGCCGGTCAAGGAAAGGGGTGAAGTACTCCTGGTATTTGTCCTCAGAAGCCCTGTGCCTGGAGTGTGGCAGAGCTCTTATCTCTCAGTAACTCCCTGCCAACTGCTGGGAAGTTCTGAGCAGACACTTCACTGGAAAGGTGGGCAGGCATCCCGGTCAGTCAGGAAGAGAATGTCCAGCATTGCTAGTTGTGAGGAGATGCAGGATCAAACCATGGATGGCACTGCATTCCCACTAAGGGCTCAGGCTAAATAGAGCAGCCCATGTGGGGTGAGGGCGTGCAGTGCTGGCAGGCTCAGCTCTTGCTGTGGGCGCAAGGCACGCAGCCCTCGGAGTGCCTGCGGAGGCAGCCCATCCCAGAGCGTTGGCGGCAGGTCCCAGGGCTGTACTCCCACAGGTAGAGTGCCCTGAACAGTGCTACGAGCAGCGAGAAGGGGTGGCCTGCCACGGCCGGCAGCAAGACACGTGGTCTCAGAACACGTTGACCCAAAGGAGCACGGGCTGCCCGGCTCCGTTTCCAGCACAGCCTAGAAAAGGCAGACCTGACCTCAGCTCACAGAAAGCAGCCTGGGGTCATGCTGCGGGGGCATGTTGCCTCCTGCTCTGGGCGGTGACACTCAGAGTAGTGCTCACTTCTGTCCAAACCCACCTACACACATAAAACAGGCCCTTGAGTCTGTGAAACCAAACTCCCAGAGAAGTGGGGGAGAGCTAAGCAGACACCCCCCACACCTTGGTGCCTGCCGGTGCACCGGGCAGCCGGTGCCAGTGGGCCCTCCTCGTCTGTTCTGTGGCTGTGGAGCTGCCCTGCTGTGAGTCACGATGTCAGCCTGGTGGTGGGTGGGCAGTGGCAGGCAGCTGTGAGCGCAGGGGCCTTCTGCAAGTCTGTGGTCAGGTGGTGGCACCCACCCTCTGGGCCGCCCCACTGGCTCCAGCGCCCCTCTTTTCCCCCTGCTCAAGAGTCGCCGGGCACACAGCATCGACCTGAAGGGGACCGTTGTGATCTTTGATGAAGCTCACAATGTGGTGAGTGTTCAGGTGGCCTTCCCGAAGCCCCCTCCCTCCTGTCCAGATCCCTGCGTCCTGGCTGTCAGGGCCCGGTAAACCTGGGTAGGTGGCGCCATGTGGGCCTTTTTCCACCCAGGACCCCCAGGGCCCTCCCGCTTTTAGCTCATTCCCTCTGTCCTCTGTCCCCAGTGGCCACTCAGCCTGATGCTCAGCTGCTGGTGACCATGCCCAGGCAGGGCCTAAGGGCCACGTCCCGGCACCTCCCTCCCTCCGCGCCCTGTCTGCTCCTGGGTGTAAGGCCTTGCCTTGCCCTGGCCAGCCCTGACCGGCCCTGAGGGGGGCCCTTGGGGCCGCCTTGCTGCACTCAGCGCCTGGCTTCCTGGGGCAGTTGTGCTCTGCTTCAGCCCCCACTTGGTTCCAGGCAATTGTCCGTGAGGGACTGTGGGCCCAGTGGGCCAGATCGGACTTTTGAGAGAAACCAGAAATCTGGATCTTAGTGGGGAATTTTCCAGTTGTACAACGTTGGCAGCTCAGGTGAAACCATTCAAAACACTGGTGTGGGCCCCACAGACAGATGTGGACCATTTGTGGTCCTGCCTGCCCCACCTGACCCGTGTGCTTGGCTCAGGAGAAGATGTGCGAGGAGGCGGCGTCGTTTGACCTGACCCCCCACGACGTGGCATCCGGATTGGCTGTCATAGACCAGGTTTTGGAGGAGCAGACCAGGCTGGCGCAGCAGGGTGAGCTCCGCTTGGACTGCAGCATGGACCCCACCAATGCAGGTGAGCCTCCAGGTGGGGAACCAAAGAGGGAAACCAAGACCCTACAGGCCAGAATCTGCCCAGGGTCCCTCTTCAAGTCGGCATCTGGGGGCAGTGTCAGCTCTTTAGGAGGCTCCTTGGGGCCTTACAGCCCAGGCGGGTGGGTACTGCCCGACCATTCTAGCATTTTTCTGAAGACCTTATCATCCCTTCTCGGCGGGTGCAGCCTTTCCCCCTCCTGTATAAAAGTGAAAAGCAAGTGCCTTGGCCTGAAATGGTCATTTTTAATGACCTGTGAGCACTGCATGTATAGGCACCTCTTCCTGCGGATCCCTTCCTGCTGCTTTCCCTCCGCGGTGGCCAGCAGGTTGGACACGGGCTGGTGAACACGGGGTCGTCAGATGCTCTCCTGCCTTCGTTAGTGGGGCGTTTCCTCTGTTCAGCTGCGGCAGGTGTTCAAGTCTCCAGATGTTACCTTGAACATGGGGTGCGGGTGTGAACCCCTGGCTTCCCCCCCTTTGTGATCACATGCGTGAGCAGGCACCGGAGGCCTGGCCGGCTCCGGGCCCTTCTCGGCAAGGGCACTCTACCCTTGTGATGGGGGCTCTCCAGCCTCTGGGGGTGAGGCCTGCACTGGCGCAGGAATGGCATTTGTTGGTTTTGAACAGAAGTTCTCAAACAAGGCTTCAGGACCCTTTATGTTCTTAAAACTTACTGACCGTAGTTTGTGTGAGTAAATCGATTGGTAACTTCTGTGTTAGAAATGAACACAGGAGTTTTAAAGGATTTGCTTACTTACTTACATAATAGCATTATAGGTTATAGTAGCTTCCAGGGCTGCTGTAACAAAGTGCCACAAATTGCAGGGCTCACAGCAACAGACCCTTGTCCTCCCACAGTTCTGGGGGCCAGCGTCTGGAGTCCAGGGGTGGACAGGCCCGCTCTCCTGAGGGAGGTCCATCTGCTCCAGGCCTCTCCCTGCTGCTGGTGTTCTGGGCCTGCAGACAGGCTCTGCTCTGTCTTCACAGGGCTGCCCCCCTGTGTGTCTGTGTCCAAATCCCCTCTTCTCGCAGGGACACCATCACTGCGTCGGGCCCACCCAGTCCACTGTGGCCTCACCTTAACTTGATCAAAGACTGTTTCCAGGAAGGTCCTAGTCACAGAGCTCGGGAGTTAGGACTTGAATATGTCTTTTTGGAGGACACCATCCAATCCGTAACATACTAAAATTAACATTTTCTTGAATAATAACTGTGTTTTTAAAACTAGAAAAGTAGTGTTGTTTTGCTGTTTCACAAATCTCTTTAACATCTGCCTTAGTAAAAGGTAGTTGGATCTCACAGCTGTTTCTGCTTTTGCTGTGATGTGATGATCACATCATGTTCTAGCCTGGTGTCCTGCCGCCGCTGTGACAAGTCGCGGACCTGGGGCTGAAAGCCATACAGCCTTCTTCCTGTTCCCAGAAGTGCCAAATGGGTCAGCAGGGCCGCCCTCCTCTGGAGGCTCCCCGGAGAATCCACTCCCCACCTTCCCCGTCCTCTGCGGCCTGCTCCTGGGGCCACACCTTCTCTGCCTCTGCCCTCTGCCTCCCTCCTGCAAGGACCCTGGGATTCATCCGGGGCCAGCCAGACCGTCCAGGGTCATTTCCCAGCTCAAGGTCCCTTTTGCCCCAGCAGGTGACAAGGCAGGGTTAGGACACGAGCTTGTTCGGGGCCCATGGTCAGCCTAGTGCACGTAGCCTCTGAAAAATTGTGCAAGAGGGGAAAAGGCAAATAGAATGTCGTCATCATCGGTAGTAGCATCCTGAGAATGGGCTTGGCCTGCAGCCTCCCGGACGGTCTCAGGCCCTAGGCCTGTAGCCACACCTGCCGCACCACCGGCCCCAGGAGCTCGCCTGTCCTGGCAGGGCCCTGCCCGCTGTGCTCTGCTGGGCGAGCATCTCTTGCGGGTGAGCTGCCATTTGTTCAGCCATTTCCCTGTGGTCAGAATGTTTGCCTCCATGCCGCGCCCAGCACTGACATCCTGTCTCTTCTCCAGGAAGCCATCTAGAAGCAGATTATCTGGTTGATAGCCATGTGTGTCTCTTAAACTTTGTTATTTTAAAGGTCACATGTTTAGAATCTTTCTCTGTGAAGCCCAGGAATTGTGTTGCTAAGTGCCTTTGCTGTCAGCTCTCCTGGGTCGAGGCTGTGGGTAGAGCATCGCCCTCGCAGCCCAGGGCTCAGCTCTGGCGGGGTGTTGTCTGCAGCACCTTGCGCAGCGTTCTGTGCTTCTGTCCCCTTCCTCAGGCATGCACGGTGTCTCCCTGCCACCCCTCCCCTCCCCACCGAGTCCAGCTCTTGCCGCGCCCCAGATCCTATGTCTGTTCTCGCTGGGCTTGCACACCCCACACCTTCCCTTCTCTAAAGATGCTGCTGTGTCTCAGCTTCATCTTCACTCTAAAGTGGTTGTTCTCCTTATAATTCTTTTTGAGTTCTGTCACTTCATTTCTGAGTGTTTGAAAACCTGGTTTATATTGTTGTTTCATGTCTTGTATCTTTTTCTGAAATGTTGTTTTACTGTTTTTTTATAAATTAATTATGAAATAATTTCAAACTTAGAATTTGCAAGTATAGGACTTTCTGTCCCATCCGGTCAGCCTCCTGCCTGCAGACAGGTGACTTCTGTTTCTGGGTCCTTCAGAGCAGTTGCAGTGGGCCACCCCTCTCTGTCTCAGTGTATTTCCCAGTGACAGAGTCATCCTCGTGTGACTGCGTGCAGTGATCCAGTGTGGAAATCAAGCGTAGATACTACACTCTTGTCTAGGTGACAGACCATGTTGGAATTTTCCAGCAAGAACCACAGCCAGGTGAAGCGTCTGGCTGGGAGCTGGCTCTCTGCGCTCGTCTTTCCCAGCCTGGGCATTTTGAAGAGAAAGGTTAGCTGTGTCAGATCTGGGCCTGTCTGACGTGTCTTCATGATGCCATACATTTCATGCATTTTTGGCAAGAATACCACAGAAGTCTCACATTGCTGGTGACATGGACGTTGGTCACCGGTTGTGTGGAAACGGCCAGGTTTTTCGGTTGTGAGTTACCACTTTTCCACTTGTAGCTTGTGCACCTGTTAATAATTCTTCCCTGAGTCAGTGATTCCAGTAGTGTTTGCACAATGACAGATTCCCTCACCCTGCCCTCCGTGTCTCGGTCAGGTTCTCCCGTGTGGAAGGTGTCTTAGATTTCACGGCAGTGGGAGCGTGCATGCTCACGTGCGTGCGGGTGGGAGCCCGTCTCACGGCCCTGGTGCTGCCGGTGCGGCCTCTCGGCTCTCTTCCTGCCCGTGTCTGTGCCTCCTGTTGGAGGTGAGGAAGCCAGTTTCCTTCTCCCCAGGAAACACCCCAGCAGTTGTCTCAGGACGGCGTGCCTGCCCGCAGCGGGTGAAGTCTGCTCGCCGCAGCCGAGTGTCAGTTCACACCCTCTCGTTGTCAGTCTGAGGGCCCACTGTGGAAGTGCCTCATTCATGAGTTTCTGGGGTTGTTTCCTCCCCCTCCACTGGGGTTACATTAGTCATTTTTTGGCTCATTTGTTTCTGTTTATATTTCGTATTTTATTCCATTTTTCTCCATTTGTGTTGATTTTATTTATTTATTTATTTAGAGCATTTGAAGCATTAGCATGGTTCCAGAGGCCAGTCATCGTATACTCAAGGGAAGTGTCTTGTTAGTTTCTGGTTTATCCTTTTTTTGCTTTTTCTTCCCCCTAAAAGAAGTAGATATGGGTATATATTTTTTTCCCTTCTGTCTTGCACAAAGGATCATGTTGTATTTTATGAATCTTGTTTGCATCTTGCTGGCTTTTCTTGCTTGTGTTTCCTGTAAATGCCTCACTTTGCAGAGACTTCCCTTCCCTCTCCAGCACCCGGCTCTCTCCTGTGGACTTTGCATATCTGCCTGACTGTTCGTATGGCATTCAGGTTGCTCCCAGTGTTTTGCAGTTACAAACTGCTGTGGCGAGTAGCCTAGTGCACACGTCCCTTTGTCTTGCTCAAGGTGTTTCTCAGGGTAAATTCCTAGAAGCAGGTGGTGGCTAAGCGGGAAACGCCTGACCGTTTGCTGCGTCGTTAGGTATTGCAGACTTCTTTGCAGGCCGCAGGGCAACGGGCTCCCAGTCCTGACAGCAGTGGGCACTGTGTCTGTGTCCTGATGGCCTCCCCAACAGAATGTGACATCAGGCTTTCTGATTTTTGCCAATTTGTTAGATGAAAAAGAGATCTCTGTGTAATTCTGATTTGCTTTTCTCTCAGGGGTGAGGGGAACATCTCAGTTGCTCAAGCACCACCTATTCCTTTGGTGGCACCACCCAGATGGTGTGAGGGGCGTCACTCCCTCCGCTCTCACCTGACGTCCCTGCTCCCTGCCAGGAGACATCTGAGGCTCCTCCTTCCCTTAGCCTGCTCGGCTGTGAGTTTCTCAGGCCTGACTTGGTTTTGTTAACCGTGGTGGTCTGGAGGAGGCTTGGTCAGTATGGTGAAGGATGTCCCTGGCCTGGGGTGTGTCTGGTGTTTTCCCTATGGATTTACCAGGGCTTGGGGAGGAAGCGCTGTCCCGCATCCGCGCTATCCCCTCAGCCTGACGATGGAGTGCTGGTGCTGACCTTGACCGCCAGGCCCAGGTCGTCCTTGTCTGGGCCCTCCACGATCCCCTCCTCCCTCCTTCCCACACTGTCCTCCTGGGAGTCAGCAGGCCCCCCCGCGGGGATGGCGTGATCTCCCCAGGGGCTGCTTGCCATGGCCAGCGTGAGGCAGTGGTTTCCCGGGAGTGCCAGCAGCAGCACAGAGCACACAAACCAGGCGTCAGCAGAGTCCTGCCTGTGCTCGGGCACCATCAGGAAGCCCAAAGACAGCCCACAGGTTGGGAGTCACTTGCTGCCCACATATATCTCACGAGGGCTTTGTGTCTAAAATAGGTAAGAAACTCTTAGAACTCAACAAAAATGTGGCGAACAACAAAAGCTACAGATAGACATTTATTCAAAGAAATTATCCAAATGGCTAAAATGCACATGAAAACACATCCTTCATCATCAGGGGGATGCAGCCAAAGCCACAGTGAGATGCCACCTTATACCTCAAAGGACGGCTGTCATACTACAGTGGGACCATGACAGGTGCTGCTGAGGACCTGGAGCCTGGGGACCTTTTATGTCAGGGCGACCACCTTGGAGACAGGTAGCTGCTAGGAAGTCAAGCCTCGGGTCACTGTGTACGCTGCTTGGCGTGCACAGTACTTGACCCCCTGTCAGTCTGGAGGCCAGAGGTGGTTTCTCCTGAGGCCTTGCCTGGCGTGTCAATGGTCAGACCCTGCTGCCCCTTTGGGCAGTGTGAGGTGGTGTGTTTCCTCATTGGGAGGCGTGCAGTGGCTGTCTCCTGCCCCGCTATGATGGAAATGTCATTATACTCAATGCCTAGATCTGTTAATTTTCGGGGGATTGCCAGATGGTGATATGTTAAGTCCGTTGTTTAATTTATTAGGAGAAGTAATTCTTTAAGGGCACTTTTCACCTCATCTCTTCTGTTATTTGGTAATACCGTTTTTATAGGAAAGGAAGGACAAATGCTTGATTTTTTTCCCTTTTATTTTCCAAATTTTCAGATTTGGGAGTTGGCATTTATTCCCAACTTATTATTGGTCCCTTGTCACCCAGGGGAGGAGAGTGGGTTTTAATGTCACCAGTGAGTCTGTGCAGGTGAACGTAGTTGACGGTTGAGTGTGAGGGGAGGCTCATCATTCCTAAGGAGTCACTGGGCTGTCTTCAGCTGCCGGCGGGCCCAGGCACCCTTTGGATGCGGCCCCAGTAGTTGGTAGTCAGGGTGTTCCCTGCTCAACCATGCTTCCCACCCAGTCTGGAATCAGCACCGTCTGCAAGAGGCCTTGGTTCCCCGGAACAGGGGATGCGGGCCCTGGGTGCCTTCATGGCTGGATGGCTGTGGCCTGGGTCTCAGGTGGACAGTGGACAGGGCTCGCACACACATGTACATACCCCCTGCGCTTGTGCCACTGCTTCTGGTTCAAGCTTGGGCTGCAGAGACTTCAGAGCCTCTTCTCGGACCTGTGTCCTCCCCACAGCAGGGATGCCTGCTCTTAGGATGTAGTCCGTAGAGTCAGAACAATGCCGACCTGCACCCCTGTGCTTTCCTCTGCCCAGGGCTGAACATGGAGCTGGAAGACATCGCAAAGCTGAAGAGTAAGTGCTGCCCCTCTGGCTGGTGGCTGGACAGGGGCTGGCCCCTGACAGCTGCTTGCCCGCAGTGATCCTGCTGCGCCTGGAGGGGGCCATTGATGCTGTCGAGCTGCCTGGGGACAAGAGTGGCGTCACCAAGCCTGGCAGGTGAGGGGTGGGGAGTGGGAGCTGGGGACAAAACGTACTGGGGCCTCGGTTCCCGCAGCGTCGTACCTGCCTGATGCCAGTGGCCACGGCCAGCTCCCAGAGAGCGAGGTCCGGCCCGCTGTGGGGGCCTCTCGTTTGGCCACGCAGAGCACTGTCCCTGGTGCGCAGTCCCCGACCCCGTGCGTGGAGGCCCCTGCTTGCCCTGTCGCCCACCTCTGGCCCAGCCCTTTGACGGCCGCACAGTTGCTGTTTAGAAAGAGACACCTGCTTCCGTGCCTGCTTTCTGCGAGGACAGTCCTGCCAGCCGGTGCTTCAGGCCTCCAGTGGGCTCGCAATGTTCTGGGCAGCCACAGGCCCACAGTCTTCCCAGCTGCCCACAGCAGTAGGCTCCTTTCCCAGAGTCAGAGGAGGGACCACACCCAGGGGTTGCCTATAGCTCCCTCAGTGTACAGCTGACGGCTGTGCTGCAGTCCAGGCCCAGGTTTACTGAGGTGCAGAATGTTTGGAATGTTCTAGAGCCCTGGGCTGCCTGCCTTTTCCCTGAACCTGTCTGCTCAGGCCCTTGCACGGGCCCCCAGTTGCCTGCCATGCGACCTAAGCTCCTCAGCCTGCCCACCCCACACCTCCCGTCTTCCCAGAGCCGCTCTTTGGGGCCCTGGCCCCCATCTGAGGCCTGAGCCCCAACACTCTGCCTCTTCCTCAGACTCGGGTCTCCAGGGGGCTCCTGAGGGCAGAGGCTCCCCACCCCCAGGCCTGGCCTCCCCTCAGCGCTCAGAGCTTGTTGCTGCTGAGCCAAGGACACGTAAAGCTGCTGGCCGTGGCGTTCCGTCCGCCGGCCTCTGCCGGGCTGAGCCTCCTCTCTCCTTGGCAGCTACATCTTCGAGCTGTTCGCCGAAGCCCAGATAACGGCTCGGACCAAGGGCTGCGTCCTGGACTCCCTGGACCAGATCATCCAGCACCTGGCAGGACGTGAGTCCCCAGCGCGTGCTGTGCCCTGTGGCTGCCTTAACCCTACTGCCCTCAACTCAGGCTGCCACCTGCCACGCCCCTGGGCAGGAGCTGGCCCCTGCAGTGCCCTTTCTGACCCGGGGATGCTGACAGATCAGTGCCATTGGACTGGTGTGTCCTTTAGCACCCAGGCCAGCTTTGCTGTTTCCTAGTCGGCCCCTTTCAAGGGAGATCAGCAAGGGTCCTGGTAGGTCAGTGAGCTGTGGGTCTCACCAGCTGCCCCCCAAGCCACACCATGTCCTGTTCCTGCTCAGGGGGCTTCTGTGGAGCCATTTCCCAGAGGCTTTGCTGGGCTTTGGGGTGGCCTCTTTCATGCCACTGCCCCAAGGGCTGAGGTAGAGTTTGGCGGCTCCTGAGGCCAGAGGGCCTTCCCTTCCCTGGTGGTGTTGGGGTGCTCAGCACCCTCTCCTTCCACAGGTACGGGGCTGTTCAACAACACGGCGGGACTGCAGAAGCTTGCGGATATCATCCAGGTAGGGACGGGCTTGCAATGAGGGTGCAGGTGTCTCCTTTCCTGATTTGTCTGGGCGCTTCTGGGCTTGCACTGATTGTAGATATGGGGCAGGACAAGGTGCCTGCCCACCTGTCTCAAATGAGCACCCCAAGGCCTGGCCCTCTCAACCTGGATGCACAGCACAGGCCTTGGGGAGTGCCCATGCTCGGCCACTCCTAGCCAGTTATGTCCACTCAAGAGCCAGGGCTAGGTGGGGAGTGAGGGCTGTGGAGGTGAGGGCCTAGAGTGGTGCCCCCGGTTTTCAGACAGGCCTTCTTGCTCTTGCCCAGCCAGCGGCTGTCATGTTTTCTCAAGTTTTTTCCTCCAACATCTTAGAGGAAAGTCAGAGTGAGAGCCCATTATGGAGGTGAGGGGGGAAGAAGGGCATAGACTGTACCCCTAGCCCCAAGTCTGCCTGCCAGGTCCGCCATACCCAGAGAAAGCTCAGATGAGCAGGGTTTGTTCAGATCATGCCCGTGAGCCCAGGCGGGGCCCCTGGGACTGTTGGGAGTCAGTGGGCATTGTCCCCACATCCTCTGGGCCAGATCAGCCTCACTCTGGGCTCTGGGATGCATTTTGGGGTGGGGACAGCCACCCGGGGACCCTGAGCCTTCTACTGTATGCAGACCCCATCTTTCCCTGGCCAGGCCACCAGTGGGGATGTCACATGCCTCAGGGTTGCTGGACACGACTGCTGCCTGACCCCCAGCATGCTGTCCTTTGGTCCAGCCAAGCCATTTCTCAGCTCAAGTGGTCGAGCCTCTGCTCGAGGAGATGGGTGGGGGTTACAGGAAGTGGGGGCGTCCCAGGCCTTTGCTGCCTGAGGCCACAGCCCAGCCTGACTGCTGGGTCTCTGGGCAGCCCCAACCCCTCTGTCTACATCTCTGGCCATCCACCCGCACTGCCCTGTCTGTCTTGAAGTCCCTGCTCCTGGGAAGTAGGCTCTGTCAGTCCACCCTGCGGCCCTCCCCGTCCAGGCGCCTGGCTGAGCCCCAGGCCTGCACAGCTCCTGCCCTCCCTAAATGCTCATTTAGGGGACAGCTTTCCCCCTCTAGACCCTCTGGAACCCGAACACCGCTCACCCTGGGGGTTGGGATTTCCCTCGGTGGCTGCTCTGAGTAGCCCCTGGCTGTGCCTCTGTCTCCACCTACCCGGCCACCTGCAAGCCAGTGTGCTCTGGTGAGGCCCGTCCACTGGAGGAAGTGTGGCCTCATCACTTCCTGCCGGGGCTACGTGTCTCATGCTGGCTCCTGAGCAGCTGCAGCACACAGCTTCCGTGGGGGTGCAGGTGCGCTGGGAGGGTCTAGACGGGGTCAGCGAGCCGGGGCCTTGGCCGGGAGGTGGGGTCACATGGGCAGCCTGTATTAGCGCTACCCTGCGAGGCCCAGCTGGGCTGGAGACCCCACGCCTCTGCACACTCCAATCCCCTTGCGCTTTGTGTGACAGACCCAGTCTCGAGGGGGGATGAGGCAGGAGGGTGGGAGAGCAGGCGATGTGGAGAGGAGCCCCAAGGCTCGGGCCAGAGACGCTCCTGAGATGGCCTGAGATCCGCTCACCCTCTGAACTGGCCCCAGTGGGAAGCTACAGGGGCACAGATGCCATGCTTACCAGCCCTGCTGAAGACATCGGGCAGGATCGGCGGCCGGCCCACGGTGGGAGCAGTCCCATGGCCCTGGAGGCACAGTGTGGAGAGGGGAGGGGATCCGAGAGAGGCACACAGCAGCGACAGGAGTGGCCAGTGAGGATGCTGGCAGTTATCTAAAACCCTTCCTGTCCCTTGGGGCCTGAGGGCTGAGGTCCAGTCTGCAAAGAAAACCACTGCCCACCGTGTCTCTCACCTGCTCACGGCTCCTCTGGCTCCTTAGAGAAGTGGTGTGTTCTTCCTGTGCCTACAGGCAGACACTTGGGTAAAATGCAAGGCCAGACATTTGGCTTCTGAGCAGTGAAGCTGACTTTTGAAGCTGCTCTTGCCTGGGTGCTTATATGTCAAGGACGGCTGCCCTTGGGCCGTGCTCCCAGCAGCACTGTGTGCCCACACACCCGCGGGCAACGTGCATGTGTGCCAGCCGCCCTCTCTGCTTTGCTCTCTTGCCCTCACAGCCCGGCGTCTGTCGCCTGCTCCTGGCCATCTTTTCTAGCACGTTAACTGGCTGTGAGTGCTGCCCATGCTCCCAGCCTCCCTGACCACGTGTGTGCGCCTGTTCCGCCTTTGTTCACGGCGCTGTCTTGTTGCTCTGGGTGCGGGTGTTTGGTGTCAGTCAGAACAAGCTCCTCCTCTTGACCTCCTAAGCTCGCCCTGGTACGCTCCCCACCAGGTGGATTTCCAGCCAGCCTGTTCACTTGTCGTCGTAGTTTTGACTGGAACACACAGGACTTTACGGTTATTTGGGGAAAGCCAGCGACCCCACCAGGTTGAGTGCAGCTTGCAGGCCTGTCACCAGGTGGCGAGGCCTCTGTTCCCAGGGGCGTGTCGCAGTTTGCTCCCCAGAGGGGTGCAGCGCACCTTTCGGGGAGGGCCCGCCGTGCTCGTTACCAGGAGCCCGCCAACGTCCCTCTGCTGGTCTCGTGTGAAGCTGACTTTTGGGTGAAGCAGTTTGTCGCTTGGTTTCCTCTAGTGTCCTAAGTAGACATGGCGTTTGTGACATGCAGTGTTCTGTGCCTCCTGCCCTAGCATCTGTCCCTCCTGTCACTTTTCCGTGGCTTATTGTGTTGGGCAAGAGCACAATCCTGTTCGCTTAGGGAACAACTCATCCCTTTGCTTTGGGAGTGAACGCAGGTCCTTTCCCCTGACTCTGACCCAGCCCAGGGAGGAGAGAGGGCAGGTCACCTGGGCCCCGGGCCCTGTGAGAGCAGCAGACAACCCGCAGGGAGGGGCGGGGAGGTGTGAGCTCCTGCCCCTCGGCCTGGGCCTGGTACAGGGGATGCTGTCAGCCTGAGGTGGGGGCGGGCGATGACGACGCCCTGAGGCCTGTCTGTCCTGTGTAGAGGGCGACTGGCAGGAGTGGTGGCCTCTGGTGTGTCCTGCTGACTTCATCCCTTGTATTTGCTTCCAGATTGTGTTCAGTGTGGACCCTGCTGAGGGAGGCCTTGGTGCCATGGTGGGAACTGGGGTCTCTCAGTCCTACAAGGTGGGGACTACCTCCAGGATTGGGGGCTCCTGGGTGGGGGTCTTGGTCCTATAAGGTAGGGGCCACCTGTCCATTCCACCCCTCCAGGTACATATCCACCCTGATACTGGTCACCAGAGGACAGCTCAGCAGTCAGACACCTGGAGCACCCCAGCAGCCAGAAAACAAGGTACAGTGCCCAGGGCGGGGACTCTACATCTCTGGCCATCCACCCGCACTGCCCTGTCTGTCTTGAAGTCCCTGCTCCTGGGAAGTAGGCTCTGTCAGTCCACCCTGCGGCCCTCCCCGTCCAGGCGCCTGGCTGAGCCCCAGGCCTGCACAGCTCCTGCCCTCCCTAAATGCTCATTTAGGGGACAGCTTTCCCCCTCTAGACCCTCTGGAACCCGAACACCGCTCACCCTGGGGGTTGGGATTTCCCTCGGTGGCTGCTCTGAGTAGCCCCTGGCTGTGCCTCTGTCTCCACCTACCCGGCCACCTGCAAGCCAGTGTGCTCTGGTGAGGCCCGTCCACTGGAGGAAGTGTGGCCTCATCACTTCCTGCCGGGGCTACGTGTCTCATGCTGGCTCCTGAGCAGCTGCAGCACACAGCTTCCGTGGGGGTGCAGGTGCGCTGGGAGGGTCTAGACGGGGTCAGCGAGCCGGGGCCTTGGCCGGGAGGTGGGGTCACATGGGCAGCCTGTATTAGCGCTACCCTGCGAGGCCCAGCTGGGCTGGAGACCCCACGCCTCTGCACACTCCAATCCCCTTGCGCTTTGTGTGACAGACCCAGTCTCGAGGGGGGATGAGGCAGGAGGGTGGGAGAGCAGGCGGTGTGGAGAGGAGCCCCAAGGCTCGGGCCAGAGACGCTCCTGAGATGGCCTGAGATCCGCTCACCCTCTGAACTGGCCCCAGTGGGAAGCTACAGGGGCACAGATGCCATGCTTACCAGCCCTGCTGAAGACATCGGGCAGGATCGGCGGCCGGCCCACGGTGGGAGCAGTCCCATGGCCCTGGAGGCACAGTGTGGAGAGGGGAGGGGATCCGAGAGAGGCACACAGCAGCGACAGGAGTGGCCAGTGAGGATGCTGGCAGTTATCTAAAACCCTTCCTGTCCCTTGGGGCCTGAGGGCTGAGGTCCAGTCTGCAAAGAAAACCACTGCCCACCGTGTCTCTCACCTGCTCACGGCTCCTCTGGCTCCTTAGAGAAGTGGTGTGTTCTTCCTGTTCCTACAGGCAGACACTTGGGTAAAATGCAAGGCCAGACATTTGGCTTCTGAGCAGTGAAGCTGACTTTTGAAGCTGCTCTTGCCTGGGTGCTTATATGTCAAGGACGGCTGCCCTTGGGCCGTGCTCCCAGCAGCACTGTGTGCCCACACACCCGCGGGCAACGTGCATGTGTGCCAGCCGCCCTCTCTGCTTTGCTCTCTTGCCCTCACAGCCCGGCGTCTGTCGCCTGCTCCTGGCCATCTTTTCTAGCACGTTAACTGGCTGTGAGTGCTGCCCATGCTCCCAGCCTCCCTGACCACGTGTGTGCGCCTGTTCCGCCTTTGTTCACGGCGCTGTCTTGTTGCTCTGGGTGCGGGTGTTTGGTGTCAGTCAGAACAAGCTCCTCCTCTTGACCTCCTAAGCTCGCCCTGGTACGCTCCCCACCAGGTGGATTTCCAGCCAGCCTGTTCACTTGTCGTCATAGTTTTGACTGGAACACACAGGACTTTACGGTTATTTGGGGAAAGCCAGCGACCCCACCAGGTTGAGTGCAGCTTGCAGGCCTGTCACCAGGTGGCGAGGCCTCTGTTCCCAGGGGCGTGTCGCAGTTTGCGCCCCAGAGGGGTGCAGCGCACCTTTCGGGGAGGGCCCGCCGTGCTCGTTACCAGGAGCCCGCCAACGTCCCTCTGCTGGTCTCGTGTGAAGCTGACTTTTGGGTGAAGCAGTTTGTCGCTTGGTTTCCTCTAGTGTCCTAAGTAGACATGGCGTTTGTGACATGCAGTGTTCTGTGCCTCCTGCCCTAGCATCTGTCCCTCCTGTCACTTTTCCGTGGCTTATTGTGTTGGGCAAGAGCACAATCCTGTTCGCTTAGGGAACAACTCATCCCTTTGCTTTGGGAGTGAACGCAGGTCCTTTCCCCTGACTCTGACCCAGCCCAGGGAGGAGAGAGGGCAGGTCACCTGGGCCCTGGGCCCTGTGAGAGCAGCAGACAACCCGCAGGGAGGGGCGGGGAGGTGTGAGCTCCTGCCCCTCGGCCTGGGCCCGGTACAGGGGATGCTGTCAGCCTGAGGTGGGGGCGGGCGATGACGACGCCCTGAGGCCTGTCTGTCCTCTGTAGAGGGCGACTGGCAGGAGTGGTGGCCTCTGGTGTGTCCTGCTGACTTCATCCCTTGTATTTGCTTCCAGATTGTGTTCAGTGTGGACCCTGCTGAGGGAGGCCTTGGTGCCATGGTGGGAACTGGGGTCTCTCAGTCCTACAAGGTGGGGACTACCTCCAGGATTGGGGGCTCCTGGGTGGGGGTCTTGGCCCTATAAGGTAGGGGCCACCTGTCCATTCCACCCCTCCAGGTACATATCCACCCTGATACTGGTCACCAGAGGACAGCTCAGCAGTCAGACACCTGGAGCACCCCAGCAGCCAGAAAACAAGGTACAGTGCCCAGGGCGGGGACTTGCCCCCTGCTCGACCTCATGTGGTACCCTGTCTGGCTGTGGTCTTCTCAGCCACCTGGTGGTTCTGGCCAGCTCCTGTGAGTCCAGCCATCTCTGGGAAACCTCGCCACTTGCCCCCTGAAGTCAAAGTGTCAGCTGGAAAGACCTCGACCCCACTGGGGACATTTCCACTAGGGGCTGGCCACAGAGCCCCAATGGCTTACAGAAACCCTGCCAGCACAAGGCCCACACCGTCCAGTGGGGGCCAATGCTGGGTGCTGGCCGAGGGTCGCGCAGGTCCCTCTGGTGCCCGCCCAGCTGCCCTGAGAGCCGCTCTGAACTCAGGCCTCGCGCCATGTCCTTGCCTCATTCGCTCTGCATGTCTTGGAGCTGGGCTGTTCGGGGATGGCGGTCTGCGCCAGGCACGCTGCAGCCCTTGCTGTGGGCTAGCCCATGCTGGCCAAGGCGTGTGTCCCCACGGTGCTCAGCCTTGGCAGGTATCCCAGCCCACCCCAGGTGAAGCTTAGCACCCCTGTGCTTCAGCCTCTTGGATGGGGGGTGCGGCCCAGCATGTCCGGGGCAGCAGGTCCTGCAGTCAGGCACATTCTCTGGCTACTCCTCAGCGCAGCTGGTGACCCACCCCTGCCCGCCCGAGCTCCAGGCCCAGCCTGCAGCTGGCAGTCCCTTGAGCCACATACCCCCCATGGGCTGCTGTCCGCCGTCCATGGAGCTGAGCAAAGAAAGAAGGGCTGGGAGCCTGGGCAAGGCCTGCGCTGGTGAGAGGCCCGCCATGTGGCCTTAGCAGGTCACTCAGCCTCCAAGCAGGAAGTGGCTTCTGTGAGCTGGGAGACCGGTGCACCCTCCCACAGCATTTGTGTGGTGACAGGAGCCTGTCTCTGCCTTGGGCCAGTGCCCGATACCTCCCTGCACATCTGCCTCCTCTCCTCACGGGGCCAAGCATGACCACTGGCAGGGCGCACAGGTCCCAGGGTAAGTGAGGCGAGGCAACTCCTGAATCCTGTACCTCTGAGAGCATGTGAGTTCTCAGAAATAGCCACTCCCTGGTTGGGCATTTGTAGGAAATTAGGTCATCTCTGGCTTTACTGAGAAGCTCGTTATGTGTGAGCAAGGGTCATGGTGGGGGCCAAGGCCCTGGACAGAGGTGAGAACACCCTGTCCCCGCATTCCTCCCTAAAGCAGGGCCTTTCTGAAGGTGGAAGAGGCTTCTCTGGCCCCGGAAAGTGGTTTGTTCTTTTCTGGACACATCCCTCATCCTGGCCTTGACTTCAGAGCCCTATTCTAAGTCATCGTGCTTGTGCTGGCAGAGCAGGGGAGGTGGGCATGCTGCCTGCCCTGGGGGCGCTGCTCTGCTCCCCCCATGCCTGCGACCTTGTCCTGCACTTCCTGCCTCCGCCACCGGGGGCTTGGCGCCCTCTCGCACGTCCGCCAGGAATGTCCGCAGGCTGGGCTCAGCTTCCTGCTCTCTGCGCCCCGAGCCACATGGCGGTCTCTTTAGAAACAGGCTGGGCCTGGCTCATCTGAATGGAGGTGATCCCAGCCTCTGTCCCTGGGGCTGCTGTGAGGCTGCTTCCTGCTCCCGGAACCCCCAGGGAGGGCCAGCTCCCAGGTCAGCGCAGAGCTCAGGCAGGGCCCCCATCAACAGGCATGCAGGGAGCCGGGCCCAGTGGCTGCCTGTGACACTGCAGATGGCAGTAGGGAGGTGGTGCCATGAGGCCTCCTCCCCATCAGGGTGCCTCCGTGGCCCAGGCCCACAACTGTCTCCCCCAGGGAAGGTGCTGAGTTACTGGTGCTTCAGTCCCGGCCTCAGCATGCGTGAGCTGGCCCACCAGGGCGTCCGCTGCCTCATCCTCACCAGCGGCACACTGGCCCCTGTGACCTCCTTTGCCCTGGAGATGCAAATGTAAGTGCCCTTGGGGCCCTGAGGCCACCCCACCTCGGGCTGCCGGCCCCAGGAGCTCAGGACCTCATGGGCCCCACTCCCCTTCGGCCCCTCAGCCCTTTCCCAGTCTGCCTAGAGAACCCACACGTCATCAACAAGCACCAGATCTGGGTGGGCATCGTACCCAAAGGCCCAGACGGAGCCCAGCTCAGCTCTGCCTTTGACAAACGGTAGGGGGCCTTACGGGCAGGGAGGTGGGCAGGCGGAGCACTGGGCCCTGGTGGCAGCGGCTTCCTGTCTGCAGGTTCTCCGACGCATGCTTGTCCTCCCTGGGGAAGGCACTAGGTGAGTGAGTGCCTGGGAGCCCTTGGCCCCAGGCTGCCCTGTCCGGAGCCCCCACCCAATTCTGTGGTGTTGGCAGCCCGTCTCACCTCTCCACAGCCCTGCTCTCCCTGGGGCGTGCAGGGACCTCTGCAGACCCCCGTCCCGCTGACCACAGCCTTGGTACTTACAGGCAACATCGCCCGCGTGGTCCCCCACGGGCTCCTGGTCTTCTTCCCGTCCTACCCCGTCATGGAGAAAAGCCTGGAGTTCTGGCGGGTGTGTCTTCCTCTGTGCCTCCTGGGAGTGGAAGGGGAGCCCCAAATGGCCAGGGGTCTGGTAGGGCCCCAGCATGTGCCTTTTGAGAAGGTGAAGTGCAGTCCTTGGCAGGCCAGGCCTGACGGGCGCCCATCCCCGCCCCCTCCCACAGGCCCACGACTTTGCCAGGAAGCTGGAAGCTCTGAAGCCTCTGTTCGTGGAGCCAAGGGGCAAAGGTGGCTTCTCGGAGGTCCGAGCTCCCCAGGGCCCTGCTGTCCCTTGTGGCTGCCCCAGGCTTCCTGCCGCCCTGACCAGGAGCTCAGCCAGCTCCATGCTGCCTGGCTGAGGTCCTGCCTGGGTCCAGCACGTCGCCCTTCAGGGAGTCCGGGCACAGGGATGGCGGCAGCAGATTTGTGTCTGAAGGGCGGCAGTGAAGCATGGCTCCCCTGCCTCCTGGCCCTGGGCAATGGGGTGCCTGGGCTTCTGGGAAACACTGAGCAGGCCCTGGGTGTCAGGTCCAGGCCAGCCTGAGAACCCATGCCGTGAAGAAGCTTCCAGAACCCTGCTGCCCCTGTAACCCCCTCCTGCCTGGGATGATCCTTCCTTTCAGAGGATGAGACCAGAGAGGATGGGGTCTGGCTCGCAGAGGGGCCGGGGCCAGGGATGACCAGCCTCTCCTAACAGGTAATGGATGCCTACTACACGAGAGTCTCCTCGCCTGGGTCCACCGGGGCCACCTTCCTGGCTGTGTGCCGGGGGAAGGTGAGGCGTCTGTTCCCCACCTGGTGCCTGTGCCCTGGGTCACAGGGCTGCACTGTGGGTGGGACAAGCTGGTTGCCTTGCAGGGACCTGACATCCAACAAACGTGTTAGGAGGGCGCAGCCCTCCCGGCCTGGCTGGGACTGGCCCTGAGATGAGCACTGGGTCCCTCGGAGAACCCAGTGGGAAGGACAGAGCTGGCTTTGAAAATGTGGGCCTCAGCTGTGGGATCCTGGGGCCATGGGCCCCAGGCAGGGCTGGCCCGCTGTTAGAGGCTTCTCCCGCCTTGTCCATACCTGGGAGCATGTGGCTCTGAGGGTCTGAGCATGGCAGACCCTTGGGGGAAAGTCCTGGACTGGTGTGGAGGCGGGCTCAGGAAAAGAATGCCCACTGTCTCTCAGGCCAGTGAAGGGCTGGACTTCGCAGACAGAAATGGCCGTGGTGTGATCGTCACAGGCCTTCCATACCCACCACGCATGGACCCCCGGGTGCTCCTCAAGATGCAGTTCCTAGATGAGCTTAAGGGCTGCAGCGGGGCCAGGGGCCAGGTGAGATGCTCAGGGTGTGGGGAGGGGTGGCAGGTGACGTGCTCTGGGCAGGCAGCAAGGGCTTGAGCTCCCATGACCAGGCGCCCGCCTCCTGCCCCACAGTTCCTCTCTGGGCATGACTGGTACCGGCAACAGGCGTCCAGGGCTGTGAACCAGGCCATCGGGCGGGTTATCCGGCATCGGCATGACTACGGGGCTGTCTTCCTCTGTGACCACAGGTGTGGCCCTCCACACACACAGGCCCCCGTCCTCAGACTCAGAGCCCGGGAGGTGGGCTGTGTTGTGGGTAGGGCACTCGGCTGACAGCTGCCCCGCTAGGTTCACCTGTGTGGATGCCAGAGCCCAGCTGCCCTCCTGGCTGCGCCCCCATGTCAAGGTCTACGGCAGCTTTGGCCACGTTGTCCGAGACGTGGCCCAGTTCTTCCGAGTCGCTCAGAAAACTGTGAGTCCTGAATGCTTAGCTGGCCCTACCTGCACACCTACTCAGGGTAGGCCCGGCAGGACCCCCAACTGCTTTGTGACTATCCAGATGCCAGTGCCAGCCCCCCTGGCTGCTGCCCCGAGTCTGGGCAGGGGAGGAGGAGCTGTCACGGTGGCTGTGTTGCCCAGCCCTCTTTCCACCAGGAAAGCCAAGTGCCTGGATGTGCACATCCCCAGCCTGAGGAGGGGACCCACAGGTGTGTGTGGCCGGTGGCACGCTGGGCCTGATGCCCACTGCCCAGCTGAGCCTGAGTGGCGGTTGGGGGGACCTGGCTCACCCCACCTTGCCCCCAGGCAGGCTTCGCTGCCCACACACCTGTTCTCTCAGGACCACCAGCCACCGGGGATGCTGAGGGCAGCCTGTGTGTGGAGTATGAGCAGGGGCCAGTCCACACCCAGCGGGGGCCTGTGGGGCTGCTGGCTGCCCTGGAGCACAGTGAACAGCTGGCGGACAGGCCCGGGGACGAGGCCCTCCCCCCGGATGAGGAGGTGCGGTGGGGCTGGGGTCCTGGAGGTGGACACAGACCCCACGCTCCACCTGGCATCCTCTGGCACCTCTGTGCTCATGCCTGTAAATCCCTTTGTCAAGGGGCAGTTGGGGGGTCGAGCACAAAACCTGGCGATGCTGTGTGCCGCCTCGGCACGGCTCCTGGCCCTCAGCTGCTCCCCTGCATGCTCTCTGCGCAGGCAGGGTGAGTGCCGCCCGGGGTGCAGCTCCTGCTGCAAGGCTGGCCCTTTCAGGAGCCTGAGCTGTGGGCAGGACCCAGCTCCTCCCCCAGGGCCTTTGTCCAGCAGCTGGGGACTTCCCAGCCTGACCGGGCTCCCTGCATCCTCCTTCCTGTGGGGCAACATTCCTCGTCCCTCGTCCCTTCCCCCTGGCCCCCTCCCCGTCCTGCCCTCTGGGTACTAGAGGGAGCCCAGCTGCCCTCAGCGGGCAGCAGCCCCCTTCCCAGCAGTCGCCCTCAGTTACCGCGGACTGCGTGTGCCGAACCTGCTCCCGGGCTTTGCTTCCTGCAAGCCAGACGGAGGCTGAGGCGGGACTGGGAGAGGGCCCTTCTCCCCGCGGGCCCGGGCCCAGGCCCCGGGCGGCTTCGGGGGCCCTGGGGGGTGGGCCCAGACAGAGCTGTCGCCCTCAGGCACAGCGCTGCTCCACTCTGTCCCTTCCGTGTGAGAAGAGGCCGGTGGGCGAGCAGAGAGGCGGGAGGAGGAAGATCAGGCTGGTCCGCGGCCCGGTACGTGAGCTGCCCAGATGCGCCTGGGCACGTGGGAGACAGGTGGTCCCTGGGGCCGCCCACTGAGTGGGGTGTGAGGTGAGAGCGAGCCAAGCCCGCCCTCTGTCCTAGCGCCAGGGGGATGGGCTCTGGAAGTGGTCTGGAGAGCAGAGCCAGGCACGGGAGCCGGCCGGGCCTGTGGGTGGGCAGTGGGTGTGCAGGGCTCCCTGCTGCCCTCTCGGGGAGGAAATGCAGGCCCAGGCACTGACGGGGCGCGTGGCCTCGGCACCCACATCTGCTCCAAGGCCTGTAGCGCCCCCGCCTTCATTTTGGCTGGAACGTTCACAGACAGTTCAGCCCAGGCCTCACGCCATGTTAGCTGCATCTCAGCAGCCAAGCCCGCTTGCCCTGGCAGCCCCACGCTGCTCTTCAGCGCCCAGGGCCCGGCTGCGTCCCGTCCCTGCTGCCACGAGCGTCTTCGCACTTGTTAGGCCTGTGTGGATCCCAGGTCTCACATATTCATGCTTTGAGGGCATTTCAGACAGCCATAAAGTGCACAGAACAGGACAGTTCTTGCGGGGCACCCGGGCAGTGCCATGGCTGTCTCGGACTCCTTCATGTCTATGGGGTCCCAGCAAGTCCTCCCCAGCACGGGGTGGTTCCTCTGAGTCCTGCAAACTTGTGGTCAGATTCGGACTTCTTGTTTTTACTCTTTTGGGAGAGCACTTTGTGAGTGGTATGGTGGGTCCACAGACCCATAGGCTCCTTCCCAGCCAGGAGGAAGCCACGCCCTGGCCCCTTAGCAGCTTGGGTGTGGGACCTGCTGCCGGGCCGCCCTGGGCGGTGACGGGCCCTCAGCGGGAGTGTGGATGCTGACATCCGATCAGGGGCTTTCACCTTCCCAGTCTCAGATGAGAGCATTTAAGAGCAACTGAGTCACGGCCTAAGCCAGGAAGCCTCCGGAAAGCCCCGCGTGCCACTGCCTTTGTCCACGTCCCTTGGCTTCTGGGAAGACTTGGGCGGCGCCCAGGGGGACTGATGCCGTCAGGAAGTGGGCTGGGTGCCAGAGGCTAAGCCTCTGAGGCCTTGCTGGATGGGGCCTGGGGAGCCTGGGCCCCTCCTGTCTGGTTTCACATTTCCTTGTCATGGGTCCAGTGTCAGGGCAGAAGTACCCCTTGCGGTCGGACAGCTGTCCTCAGAGCCGGGGTACCCACCACAGTGCGCCTGCTGTGGGCGCGAGGAGCTTGGTGAGGTAGAAGCCCCCAGCCTGGAAAGCAGAGCTACATTCTGCCCCCTTGCTGCTCTCAGGGCCACAGCCATCTTACTGAAGCCACCATGTGAGGGTCCCCTGCTGGCTGTCCTCTGCGTACCCTGGGATTGGGGCGTCCTTCCCAGCGGCCACCCTGTCAGGCAGCAGCCCCCACAGCAGCTCACTGCCCTGGGCACAGGGGAGGGTGGGTGCTGTCTGATGGGTGCCTGGCCGTGTGTGCAGCAGGAGGGGCCAGCAACTGGAGCGCAGGCGGGCAGGGCCAAGCTGTTCATGGCAGCTGTGAAGCAGGCACTGAGCCAGGCCGACTTCGACACCTTTGCCCAGGCCCTGCAGGGCTACAAGGGCTCTGACGACTTTGCAGCCCTGGTGACTGGCCTCCGCTGCCTCTTTGCTGAGGACCCCAAGAGGCACAGCCTGCTCCAAGGTGCCCTGGCCTGCAGAGACCCCAGGGTGGGCCACGGAGTGCACAGTTGTCCCTGTTCCCTGGAAAATGGGGGGTGGCCCACAGTCCCGGGACCCAATGGCACAGTGGCTGCAGTTCGTAGGACCGACAGGCTCAGGCATCTCCTCCCTACAGGCTTCTACCAGTTTGTGCGGCCTCACCACAAGCAGCAGTTTGAGGAAGTCTGCCTGCAGCTGACAGGCCATGGCTGCGGCTTCCAACCTGAGCACAGCCTTCCCAGGAGGCAGTGGGCACAGCCAACCCTGGAGCCCAGTGGTGAGCAGGGCCTCACCCCAGGTAGGGACCCACCTGAAGGCAGGTGTCGTGGGAGCCCAGGAAGATCAGATCCCCTGCCCTCAATCCAAGGGGACTTGACAGCGTGAGAGTCACCCTCCCGTCTGGGCTTGTTGCCCACTGCGGTGTCCTTATGCCTGCCCCCCATTGCCCCGGCCACCCTGTTAAGGGGTGGCCAGCACCCTGTCCTGCTCCCCAGCATCTCGCCGTGTTGGAGGGTGTGGTCTGAGGAGGGTGGAGACCCAGTCTCCCCTTGCACAAACCTGCCTTCTCCCCAGGGAGCACTCCAGACGCTTGGGAACCAACTGGGGGCTCCTCGTGTCTCTGAGTTTCTTCAGGAAGGAGGCAGCCAGATGCCAAGCTAACCCTGTCCCGGGGCGCAGCCAGGCAGCTGGACCCAGGAGAGCACCTGAATCAAGGCCAGCCCCACCTGGCCTCTGGGCCGCACCCCACAGGTACACAGTCCTTGCAGAAGCTCCAGTCCAGAGCTGGCCGCAGAGCTGGTGGGGAGGAGGCCCTGGCGCTGTCCCCCTGAGTAAGGGCCCGGCGGTATGGGGACGCTCCAGGAGCTCCTGGGCCCTTGGGCTTCCCATCCCGCCTGGAATGTGTTCACCTCCCACCAGGAGACCCCAGCGGCTGTCCCCAAGAGGGGCCCAGAGCCAACAGAGCAGAGAAGCAGGGCCAGCCTGCCATGAGTGCCTACCTGGCTGATGTCCGCAGGGCCCTTGGGTCCTCGGGCCGCAGCCAGCTGCTCGCAGCACTGACTGCCTACAGACGTGACGACGACTTCGAGAAGGCCATGGCTGTCGTGGCCACACTCACCACAGCGAGGCCTGAGGACCTGTCCCTGCTGCAGAGCAAGTGGCTACGGGGCCAAGGGTGCTTTCTGGGGGTGCTGTGTGGGGTGCACTTGGAAGCTGGGCTGAACAGCTCTCCCCACAGGGTTTGGCATGTTTGTGCGTCCACGCCACAAGCCACAATTCCGACGGATGTGCAAGGACCTGATGGGCCTGGCTGCCCCCGGACCCGGGGAGCCAGGATCCCGGGAGTGGAGTCCCACCTCACCTCCAGATCTCTCCCGTGGGGCTTCTGGGTCTGGTAGGGTGGCCTGCCCTGTCACGCCCAGAGCCCCACTTGGCCCTGGAAGGGGTGGGTAGCCAGAGAAGCACCGGTGCCCCTTGGACTCCTTCCTCTGTCTCCAGGCTCCTCACAGCCTGGCAAGACCCAGCGCAAGATCACCTCCTTCCTTAGTCCGAGGCTGGCCGGGGGTGCCCTGCAGCAGCCGCAGCCCCAGTCGGGTAGGTTCTGGGTGGGGGCTGCAGGGCAGGGTAGCTGTGCTGGCCCTGGGTGCTCACAGCAGCCCCCTTGCAGCACATGCAGCATGTCCTGGCTGCGGGGCAGAGGACATAGTCCCTTTCCAGTGCCCCTCCTGCAGCTTCCACCGCTGCCGGGCCTGCTGGCGACGGTGCCTCCAGGTGGGCAGCCTGGCCTCACGGGCATGGGTGGGCTATGTGTTGGGGCAGACTGCAGTGTCCGGGTATGTCCAGCACCTCTGCCTCCACAGGCCTCTAGGACATGCCCAGCCTGCCAAACTGCTGCCAGGAAGCAGAGTGTCACGCAGGTCTTCTGGCCAGAGCCCCAGTGACCAGGAGGGCCTCGGCACCCAGGTCTGGTGCAGCTTGGACACCGTTGCCTGGGGGCTGGTCGGGCGCAGCACCGGCAACCCCTTGGCCAAGAGCCCATCTGACGGGGACGTCTGTCCAGCACCTGGGGACACCCCTGGGCTGGCCTGTGAGAAGCCACCTTAGGGTCTGGGGTTGGCTAGAACGTGCTTCCCCAGAACTTTCTCTAGCTGGTGGCTTATGGATAGAGTCCCAGGGGCTTCACAGCTGAGTCCAGGACCCCACTGCTGGGAAGGAGGGAGAACCCTCTGCTGCCTCCTGTTGGGGACTTCCTTGGGGGGCTGTGCGTGGTCAGTGATCCTGCTTTAATAAAGCTGCTAGCACGAGTGGGACTTGAGTGTGCAGTGTGGGCCAGGTAGTGGGTGGGATTCAAGGGTGCCAGGAAGGAAGGGTTGGGGGTGTCTGCAGGGTCCCCTCTAAACCCCACCCTGTCGAATGTGTGGGTACCCTGAGTGCACTGTGCAAACGGCTCAGCTTCCATCCCGGCAGCTGTGGTGACACCAGAGAGGAGACCGGGTCCCCACTTGCACCCCAGCTGCCAGGCCTGGGCACTGGGTCGTGAGCTGCCCATGGCTCTGGGGAGGGCCTTCACAGGGCACTTTTGACCTGGCTCTGGGCCGGCTGGCGCCATGGGGGGAGGCGAGGCCGTGAAGTCCGGGCCGACTGTGGCCCCCGCAGGTCTCCGGTCCTCCCCCGGGGGCGTGGCGAGCCGGTCCATATAGGGAGGCGACGGCGTGTGTGTGTGAGGCCGAAGCCGCAGCTGCTTTGCTCCGGGAACGCCATGAGCGCGCCGCCACGGCCGCGCCCACCAACCCGGACCCCACCGTGGGCGCTGCCCGCCCTGCTGCTGGCGCTGGCGGCGAGCGGAGTGGCGGCAGGCGCGCCCACGTACCCGTGGCGGGACGCAGAGACGCAGGAGTGGCTGGCGTGCGGCCAGTGCCCCCCGGGCACCTTCGTGCAGCGGCCGTGCAGCCGGGATAGTTCGACCGTGTGCGGCGCGTGCCCGCCGCGCCACTACACGCAGTTCTGGAACTACCTGGAGCGCTGCCGTTACTGCAACGTCATCTGCGGGGAGCGCGAGGAGGAGGCGCGGCCGTGCGCCGCCACCCACAACCGCGCCTGCCGCTGTCTCCCCGGCTTCTTCGCGCACGCCGGCTTCTGCCTGGAGCACGCGCCCTGCCCGCCCGGCGCCGGCGTGGCCGCCCCTGGTGGGCTGGGGCGCCCGGGTTGGGGGCGGGGGACCAGGGCTCCAGAGGCGGTGGGGATGCCGCAGCTCCTTGATGCCCTGACCCCGTCCTGCCCATCTCATTCTCAGGCACCCCGCGCCAGAACACGCAGTGCCAGCCGTGTCCCCCCGGCACATTCTCAGCCAGCAGCTCGTCTTCAGAGCAGTGCCAGCCCCACCGCAACTGCACGGCCCTGGGCCTGGCGCTCAACGTGCCAGGCTCTTCCTTCCACGACGCCCTGTGCACCAGCTGCACAGGCCTCCTGGGCAGCACGCGGGAACCGGGAGGCCCAGGTGAGCCGTCAGGTTGGCCTGGGTCCCTGCCATCGCCTCAGACCTGAGTCCAGCCCTGAAGCCTGAGACACTTACCTGGACTCTGGGAAGGGCCCCCAGAAGCTTCGGGGGACCAAACGGCCCCCCCCCCGCCCCGCCAGGCCTCCCCAGGTGGTTCCAGTGAACACACAGCTGAGAGCCCCTGCGTCGCCAGGTGATGCCGTTTCCCCCACCGGGAAGCCGAGGCCTGTAAGTTTAGTTTGCAGAGGGAACAAGGTAGAGAAGGGACAGACCCTTCGGTGCTGGATCCTGCCCTAGCAATGGCCCGCCAGACCCCCGCTGGCCTGAGTGGACCCCCCCCTGACTCCCCCTGCATAAGCTGTTTTCTGTGTGGAATGTTAAGAGTGCAAAGGTCTCTCCTTGGTCTGGAACCTCCTTGGGGCCCAGAGGGTGCAGGGCGCATGGAGGGCTTCAGTCTGCAGGCTAGTGAACGACCCCCACACCCAAGGCTGACCAGGCCCCCGGCCCTCCTGCAGGGACCGACCAGTGCGAGCGAGCGCTGGTCGACTTCGTGGCTTTCCAGGACCTCTCCCCGAAGAGACTCCTGCGGCTGCAGCAGGCCCTAACCGGCCTGGGCGTGCGGACGTCGCCGCCGAGGGGGGACCGCGCAACTCTGCAGAGGAAGCTCTGGCAGCAGCTCTCTGAGCTCCGTGAGGCCCAGGCCGGGGCGCTGGTGGCCCGGCTGCTGCAGGCACTGCGCGACGCCAGGCTGCCAGGGCTGGAGCGCACTGTGCGCACCCGTTTCCTCTCAGCGCGCTGAGCGCCCTCCCCCTATTTATTCCTTCCCACCCAGATGCTCCATGGGTATCGCCATCCACACCACGGGAGACTTCCACCTGGGTCCCTGTGGCACTAACAAAGTTAATTTTTTATAAAGCCAATTTGTAACCCTGGACACGTGAAGCTGTTGTGTCTGCTTGGAACCTAGGACATCTGGCGGGGGAAACACGAGGGCAGGTGCTCCCTGTTCTTCCCAAGCCGTCTGGCTGCCTCCCACTCCGGACTGGGCAGAGCCCCCCACGAGCGGGGTGGGTTGTCCCAGACAGCAGTGGGTGGCAGGTGGTCCCTTCCAGCTGTGGGGCTCTTCCCATGACTCCAACTACACCCTCAGCGAACGCATGGAGCGTTGGGGCGGGCTGGGGGAGGCTCAGCAGGGGCTGTGCCCAGGAGATGGCACAAAACTTGGGGGCTCTTGCTGCATTAGAGGACACAGCTTGGACTGGCCAGCACCACCAGCCTGCACACCCCAGGAGCACCTGCTCCTCCTGGGAGCTCTGTCCGCTCCTGGCCGGCAGGGCACTTCCCAGGGAAGACCTGCCCTGGCCTTGGTGTGTCTGACTGCAGAGAGAGGCCTTTTCCCCTCTGGGGCAGGTGGAGATGACCGTACTGCTCAGAGCAGCCTGGGGACTCCCAGGCTGGGCCGCCCTTTCCCTAGGCACTGGAGATCCCTATCTGACCTCATTAGGGACCCAGGGGACAGGGGAGACCTCCCAGCCCACAATGCCCCATGAGTCACCTCACCTACAGCTGGGAACCCCCAGTCCTGACTCATCCCTTTCTCAGGAATTCCTCCCAGAATGCCCGAGGAGTGCAGGCAGTCCAGTGGGCTGCGACTCCAGATACGAAGCCAGCAGGCCTCTGGCTGTGACCAGGAAACAAGCGGGCAGAGCCGACAGGCACTGGCTCCAGCCCGAGGGGCCCTCACGCCGCGGTCACTGTGCCCAGGCAGTCAGTCTCCAAGCCAGCCTTGGGTGCCTGGAGGAATGATGGCCAGGAGCCACTCAGACTGTCCCTTTATTGCCCACACTGGCCAGCACCCACTGGGCAGCCTCCTTCCCAGTACCAGGCCCACCGAGTACTGCTGACCGCACATGACTCATCCGGGGGCCCCCAGGCCTGAGGGGTTCCCCGCCCCCACCTGCAGCTGAGAATCCGGCCCCAGGCTCCACCAGCCTCCTCTGCCCCGCAGGCCGCCCACCCCCACGGGCACCCAGGCCAGGGGCAGGTGGGGCGCTGACTCCCAGCTTTCCCTCCTTGCTGTGCGTCAAAAGGTGACGTCGGGCCAGCGGGCGACAGTCCCCTTGGCAGACCTCCCCTGCCCTGTTCTAGGGTTGCATCGAACCCCAGGGTCCTGCTGGCCCTCAGGGACTTGGGCCGGGCACCCCTGGAGGTGACACCAGTCCCCGGCCACCTCAGCCACCTTCAGGGCCAGAGGAGGCCAGCTGCGGGCAGCCACGGCCCCACCAGCCCCGTGCAGGCGCACTTCACAGAGCAGCTCCAGGAGCGCCCGAGGGCCGCGGCTCTGAAGAACCACTGCCAGGCAGGCCCCCACAGGACCCACCGGGGGTTGGATGAGGTCCTGCGGTAGCACCTGAGCAGCCCCCTGGCCCGGTCACCCCGACTCCCCTTGGCAGAAGCCTCCGGAACCTACACTTTTCTGGACACAGAAAAGTTTGTCTTAGAGAAAAAAACAAAGCGAACAGGCACAGCAAACCCGACCCCCACAACTGGAAGTAGTGAGCTGGCAGGGCCTCTGGCCTCGGGATGAGCTGTGTGTGACCGCGGGCAGGGCCACGCCTACGTGATGTCCCTCTGTCGTGGTGGCCGGTGCACATTGCGCACGACGCACTTCACCATCCACTCGATGCCCTCGCGCACCCCTTTTCTGTGGAGACACTGAGTGTGAGGCGGGGCTGATGTGGGCTCCAACCCGCAGTGTGAGCCCCACTCACCCCGTGAGTGCGGAGCAAGCCTGGGTCAGGCAGTCGCGCCGGCCAATCTTAGAGGTGCAGTCGCTGAACGCGGTCTTGATGTCAGGGATGGAGAGGCAAGCCTGGGGAGGCAGGGCCGTGAGGAGCAGGGCCCAGTCCTGTCCCAGGGCAGTCTCCAGAGCTGCCAGCGTGGCAGTGGGGGCTGTTTCGCCCAGGAGGGGCCTCAGAGAAGTTGGGGGTGGGCAAGCGAGTGACCCTGGTCTTAGGACACCTGGCAGCTGCCAAGGCATGCTGCGCCTGCCTGTGCTAAGCCCCTTCCCGTGTGGACTGGCCAGGTTGGTACCCCCACCCACACCCCTGGCCTGAGAAGAGGAGGGTTTGGGGTCAGTGCTGACCCCCACCTTGGGACCCCTCTATTTTCCAGGCCTTTTGTCAGGGTCTCTCCCCATAAGGCTCCCTGCCTAGGGTGGAGACGGTGCCCTGCTTGGCGGAATTGGCTGTGTGGACAGAGCTTGTGGTGCCTGAGGATGGTAGCAGGTTCCGCTCAAACAGGGGCCCCATACCCCTGGCAATGGGGGCTCACCTCAACGTCCTGCTTGTTGGCCAGCACCAGGATGGGGACGCCATCCAGCACCTCACTGGTGACCATCTTCTCTGCAGGGTCAGAGAGGTAGCAGTGAGCACCCTTTGCCTATGATTGCCCAACCCGCGCAGGGGTCTCCACAACCCAGCCGACCTCTCTGCAGGTGTGGACACTCTCTCTTGGCCAGGTGGGGGCCCAGCCTCCCCCAAGGCCAGCTCCGGATGTGCGGCATGTGCTGACTGGACCGGCCACCCCCAACACCCAGCCCTGGCAAGGCTGTACCCACCAAACGCCCACTTGGACTCCGACAGTCTCTCCTCATCCGTGGAGTCGATGACATAGATGACACCATGGCACTCTGCATAGTACTGGGGAGGGGCCAAAACAGGGTGCTGGGCTACAGGCACTCAATCACCACAGGGGTAGCCCCCAAAATGTCAGAACCTCCTGGGGTGCTGAGTGGGGAGGGAGAGCAGAGTGAAGATGCACCCCCAGACCTCTGCAGGAAAGGCTTGCTAACCTTAGGCAGGGGCACCTACCCTGCCCACTCCCCGAGTGCTGTGCCCCAAGCCCCATTTTGTCTGCTCCTGAGAACCACCATGACCGCTGGCCTGATGCGGGTGGAGGGGAAGGACAGACTTGGGGGCCTGGGCTGCTCTGCAGGTGGAGGGAGAGCGCTAGTGGGGCCATGTGGGGTGCCTCTGATGAGCCACAGCAAGACCACCATCACATTCGAAGCAGCTCTTGTCACCCGGGCAGGACAGCAGGTCAAGGGTCAAAGCATCACTGATCTTGGAGCTCTGCAGGCTGGCCTGGCGCCAGGAGGGAGGTCAGCTGGGGGCCCCCCCATAGCACCAGCATCTCGGGAGGCACCCCAACACGTAACTGCACGCACTGTGAGGAGTTATGGGATGAATGATGGAACACAGCATCCCCCTGGGAAAAGGCAGATGCACAAAGCAGGGGCACACGGGGATGGACCCACTGGGCATGGGGTGCAGGAAGGGGAAGATGGGACACCCTGGTTCCCCTGGGCAACCACACCAGTGCCACTTGCCCACCTCTCCTGCTGTCACAAGAGCTCAGGGCCCTGGGACTCCCTCACATTCCATGGACCAACTCTGAGCCGGTTCGGCACAGCGGGCCTGCTGGTAGCGGGATGAGCCAATGGCCAGGGAGCTGAAGGTGCTGGGGAGGCGCACACGCTCCCGGGCAGGCAACTGAGAGGAACAGGCCTGGCATGCACCCAGTATCAGACAAGCTTTGGCATCTGCCCCTGCTGTGGAGGATGCCCCTGACGGGCACAGCTCTGACCGACGTGCTGGGTGACCAGAGGGCAGTGGGATGGCCGTCTTACAGCTAACACCCAAAGCTGGCAGGCCCCACAGTGGTCTCCAGGGCAGGAAGGTGTGGGGTTTGCAGCAAGCAGAGGATCACCACGTGGTCCCTGGGACCCTCGTGGGTGGCAGCGAACTTCCCTCGGGTGTGCAACCTGGCCACAGCAGACAGGGCCCAAGCTGCCGTCGCCCTCTCCAGCACAGAGGGCCCAGCATACCTGAGGCTGAGTGTGAGCAGGATGGGGGGCACAGTAGGCTGCCCAACCTATGGCACCCGCCATGCCCCAGACCCTGACGGTGGCACCCATGGCCACACTGGGGCAAGGGCCCAAGCTTGGCTTCTGGGTGGGCACACACTGGAGGCCCAAGCATGGCCTGGAAGGGCCAAGGCCAGAAGTTCTCCCCATGGCCAAGGGCCAGGTGGTCCACAGCGTCCCTCTCATGTTGGAAGATATAGCCCAACGCTGGTGTGGGTATGGACCCCAGGTGGCAGCACATGTCCCAGACAGAGGTGTGGGAGTGAGGAAGCACCAGACGTCCGCCAGGACAAAATGACTGCAGCCAGATATGGTGCCAAGCCCCAAGGACACAGTGTCTGGAAGCGGGGAGGGATCAGGAACCCTACTTCCCATCTCCCTGGTGACCCACGGGGGACTCTGCTGCCCAGCCCCGCAGCTCTGGGCCCACCTCGCTTAAGACGGCCAGGGCCGCAACAGGAGAGCCCGCGTCCTGAAGCCTGGCTGCCTCTTGGGCGTGCTGGGCGACTCACGCCCAGGGGGTAGCAGAGCTCCCACCTGGTGGGGTAGCTGACTGCATCGGCAGGAGGTGGGTACACACTCCACAGCGGGGCTGGTGCACACGGGGCTGGGTCCCCGTGATGAGGCTGTGCTGCCACAGCGCCAGCAGGAGGGACCACAGCCGCCAGCAGAGCCAGTCTGTGTTTGCCCCTTTCCTCTTCCCTTCCAGCCCCCGAGGAGGCGGACTCCCAGTGCAGAGGCAGAGCAGGTGCACCACAGAGGGCTGTGGCCAGCGCAGAAAGTGTCACCAGCCATGGCCCTGCTGCCCACTGGCAGCAATGTGCCCATGAATGGCTCCTTGCTGGCTTCTGCATGACCCACTGACCCACAAAGAGCTATCCTACCAGGCCGCAGCTGTCCAGGGCAGCCCATCAAGGTGACCCACCAGGCCCTAGGGAGGCCCATCCAGGTCAGCCGACACAGGGCAGCCATGAGGAGCAGGTCCCCTCTGAGCATGCCCACTGGCAGGCCCCCGCCCACCCAGCTGCCCTCCCTCTGCCCAGGCCCACCTCCTCCTGGCTCCTTCCCCAGGGGCTAGTTACCCCGACCCGTCTGCTCCTGAAACCCTGGCCTGTGACAGGACATCATGCTCTGTCTTACTCCCTACATGGGTCTGGGGTAGGCCCATCAGTGGCCTGCTGGCCACTGGGTAGAAACCGCCCTCAGATCGAAGTCAGGGTAGGACAAGATTTGGGGAGGTGGGAGGCGAGGAAAAGGTGACTGGGTGCCGCTGTTGGGGTAGAGCCAGAAATCAGGACCTAAATACACAGGTGAGCAGCAAGAGACCAGGCAGGCAGGCCTGTGCCCCAGTGTGGGACTGCACAAAGGGGCCGTGCTGCTCCGCCAGGACGGGTACCTAGGGAAGGGGCTGGTCTGTCCTGCTTTCTGCTGGACCGCGAGGCCTGGCACAGCCTGAGCTAGAGACTGACTCATCTTGGGGTGTGGGGGAAAGCCATGACAAGGGGCATCTCAGAAATGCCCAAACCTGTCAAAAGAGAAGGCAGTTGCTGTGGGCTTCCTGACAAGGAGGAAGCCACTGTGGAGAACAGGTCCTAGGGTAGAACTGGGGAAAAAGGTCCCAGCAGGGGAGACACAGGCACTGTGCCTTCCCCACGTCTGCCTCCCAGCCATCACGTGTCTTGTCCTGCGGTGACCAGCACAGGATTTCTAAGCCAAAAAAGAACCAGCTGTGTCCTCACTTGGGGGAGCAACCAGGGTACTGGGACAGGATTTGGGGAAGCTCAGGAACATGGGTGACAGAGCTGCAGAGGGGAAGGGAAGAGGGTGAGTGTGAAGCCTGGGCAGAGGAAGGCCCAGAAGGAAATGTCACGAGCACAGGCCGCAAGCAGCTGTCTCACCTTGTCCCACAGAGACTGCAGCTCTTCCTGCCCCCCCAAGTCCCAGAAGACCAGGCGGGCCTTTCCCACGTCCACAGTGCCGACTGCAGGGAGAAGAAACGGGGAGGCTGTGGCCTTGGTCCGGGCAGGGACATGCCACTCTGGGGCTCCTGGGCCTCAGGGACAGCAGGAGTTGGAGCAGGGCTCACACACAGGGCTCTGGCCACCTGCCCGCTGGCCTGCGGGCGTCACAGCATGCTCAGCGGTCTGCCCCCAAAACCCGCAGCCTAAAGGAACCCCTTACTGTTCAGACCCACGGTGGTAGTGATTTTGGATAGACTCATCCCCTTGTAGTTCTTGTTAAACCGGGTTTTTGACTGCTCCAAGAAGGTCTGAGAAGAGAGGGAGAGGCAGGCGTTAGATGAGGCCTGGAGTAGCTCCCACGCTTCCTAAATATCCCTCTCTGGGCCTATTCCTTTAAAGCAAAGCAAAACAATGTTTTGCCTTCAAAGTGGCTGGTACGACTGTCCCATGGTCTTAAACGGGTTTCGGGTTCTCCCTGGGCGGTGAACACGCAGCTAAAGGTGTGAAACCAAGACGACTTAGGCGGGGGGTTTCTGACGCGGAACAAGCACGAACCGTCTTTCCGGCATTGTCCAGGCCCAGGATCAGGATGCAGTACTCGTCCTTCTGAAACATGTACTTGTACAGGCCTGACAGCAGCGTGTACATCCTGCCCTGGGCACCGAGAGACCAGTCACGGGGCGACCCACACCCCGCCTCCCACCGCTCCCCGCAGGGAACGCGCGCCGGGCCGTCCGGCCTGCGCGCCGCTCAGCCCTGGAGCCGGGGTGCCATCCTGACTCCCCTCCAGCCCGGCGCCCGGTCCCCTTCGTCCCACGATTCCCCCCAGGGGCCTACCAGCGCTCCACACCGCTCCCGGGATTCCTCCCACTCCTGGCCTCTCCAAGGCTCCCTGCTTCGGAGCGGACCAGGTCCTGTCCTGCTGCCAGGCCGGGCCCAGGCCCGCCGGGGCTCCCGTGCCCTCCGCCCGCCCCGA